TCGCTCTTTACTAATAGATCACGTTTTACACTGAAGCCACAAAATGGTCTATGACTAGAGCTTCTAGGTGCTACTGCAACAAAAATAATGAAAAACAAATCACCTCTTACTGTCTTAGGCCCTGATCCTGCGGTGAGATGCATGCACATGGACTTCTGTGCCTATGCAAAGCTTTGCTGATTTCAAGAGGACAATGCAGGGGTGTAAGAGTCCACCCATATAGATCAGTTTTCAGGTTAATTCTGGTTAACTGGTGATCTCTAAGGGTTGTCTCTGGGAATCAAGTTTTCAGCTGCTTTGCAATGCAGTTCTGTGACATCTTGTCAAATATGAACTCAATCCCGCAATTTGGAATAAAACTTACCACCTCACTTCTCTCGGTGCAGCAGGATCCAATTCCAGCGTTTCCCCCAGTACTATATGTTTTCACTAAGACCATCAACACAACACCATTATAGGGGAGTCCGGCAACTATGCAATTAAACTGTAAGTCTTATGTGAGCAGTGTGTATCACATACTGATTTTAATTAGATTTTGTATCTAGAAGTGACTTGATTTACTCAACAACTGAAATTTATAAATAAGTACTGTAGTAAAAGCTGCACATATTAAGACCTTGATACCCCCCCAGAGTCAGTTAAAAAAAAAAAAAAAAATATCTAGGCCCTGATCTTGTATTCCCCACCCCCCAAATTACATACTTATCCCACATTGGTGAAATGGTGTTCTCAGTTAAGGTATTTTCTAACAGAGAGCTATATCCTTTGAGAAGGCTAGACAACACATTTTTTATAATCTTATGATTATACTCAAGATCTATATCCCAATTAATAAAATGAGGAATAGGTATATCGGGATTAAAATAAATGAAAAGTAAATTACATCACAAGCTGCTTAGAATTAATTCACGGAGCAAAGCTTGGTTCATCCTTCATACAACTATACTCTAAATGTTCAGATACTGGAGAATTTTACCCTGGGAAGGAAGACTGAGGAAGCAAGAGAGGACAGGGTAGCCAAACAGAACTGGAAAAATTTTCTCTACAGCTTAAGTAATAGAGCTGAACTATAGAGCTTTGGTCTGCACAGCTCCGTTCAGTTTAAGTGGAGTTTACTACTCACACTCCTTAGCTATTTTTCCAAATGTAAATATTTTCTTTCCTGGATATATAGTCAAAGGCACACACTCAGTCTCTGATTTTTTTAAATTAGGTCTTGCCTCTTTTTTCAGATACAGCCTGGCAAAAATGAAAAGGATTTTATCCCTTTCATGCCAGAATTATTTGCTGTGACACCCATATCTATGTTGCATGAAGTGTTGTGCTGGTCCCAGATATTAGAAAGACAAGGGGGGTGAGGTAATATCTTATTGGACCAACTTCTGTTAATGAGGCAAACTTTTGAGCTTAGGCAGACCTGCATAAGAGCTCTGTGTAAGCTTGAACGCTTGTCTCTCTCACCAACAAAAGTTGGTCCAATAAAAGATATTACCTCACCCACCTTGTCTCACTCATACCTATAGCATTTAGCTCTTCTTTCCATTAACTTACACTGATTACAGTTTGACTGATTGTTTGTATGAAATTCATACTCTGATGTAATAGAATTTTATAAAGTTGACCTAAATAATTCAAGTCTTGTTGGTTCTAGGTTTGTCGAACATCTACCCTTCCTGTATTGTTACACAAGACAATTGCTAATTATACCATCAACAAATATAAAAAGCCTAATGCAATTTTCTCTTCAGATTTATTATTCCAGAGGCACTTACATGTCTTACATTTATATAGCGCCTTTCTTCTCACAGCGCTTTAAAAACTACAGTATGTACATATACAGGAATATCTCCCAACACCTAGGAAATGCAACCATCTCTGACTACCACTAGTGCTATTTTGAAATATCACCAGCTTGAGACTCGGTCATTGAGGATATGGAGATGCTTTTATCAATACTTTCATTCTCACTATGACTGATTATTTTCAAACTTCCAGCTTGAGCAATTAAAAAAAAAAGACTACAACCAATATATACCACAGCTCCATTTTATAACTGAACTAAGATTCAATCATTTTCACCGGATTAAAAATCTCTTCATTGACAATAAAAGTTTATACTTTAAGGTGTTTTTATGTAATCTTTTAAAGAACAGTGGTCTAGAATATCCTTCCAAATTGTTTTTACTATATGTTCCTCGTTGCTCACCAGGTTATTCTTTGATATATCCACAATATAAACTAGAGCTTTTAGGAATTAAATGAGGAGATGACCCTTGATTCTCAAACTGACTTCAGTACACAACAGAAGCAGGCCCATTTCTCCTTGTTTATGAAGCTGGATCTGTTTTCGTTTTAAGGCAAAATTGAAAAAGTTTATGCTCAGTCATGTTACTAATCAATGTTGAATTGTAAAGCACCCTTGGACTTGCTGCAGAGGAGGATATATAAATGCACTTTGAGTGGTTTCTGCTTGTTAGTGTCAAAACTACATGAATACATTAAAAAAAAAAAAAAAAACCCAACTACTTTACTTACATTACCACAAACTTCTTTCTAGCCAAAAGAATAAAAACAGATATTTGAATTTGGAGAAATATTCTTTGCTTTGTCTCTCTAAAAAGCTACTAAAACATTTCTTAAAAAAATTGCAATTGGGTGACAACTTTCACAAAACAGCCATTATGGTAAACCCTGAAAATATAGTATCAGAGGGGTAGCCGTGTTAGTCTGGATCTGTAAAAAGCAACAGAGTCCTGTGGCACCTTTAAGACTAACAGATGTATTGGAGCATAAGCTTTTGTGGGTGAATACCCACTTCGTCAGACGCATGAAAACACTAAAATCTCACATATAGCAGCAGCACTTGCTTCACTATAAATTAGTCTGATATCAGTGTTTAAGAATTTGAATTAAAAACTGGTAAAAAAGCTAACTGCCATCTTGCTGAATGAAACAGTTTATTTCAGTGTCAGGTGATACATGGATGCAGTTAGGCTGCAAACACATGCCTTTTGGAGTTCCACTGATGCTATTTAACATGTTGAATTTATTGCCTATGTCAGTGGGTACCTGTACTAAGACATGAGGTCACTGGCATTTGTTCTTCTATGTAAGAGTATTTTAATTGTGAGTGGTATGGGCAAGAAGTGTAATAACCTCACGTTTTCAAGTTTCAAGATAAAAGGGGAAAATAATAAGTAACAATCTTAATACGAAAGATGGCATTCAGTATTCACAGAGCTGAATTAGTCATTAAGAGGAAGAGATACACCCAAGTGTATATTGATTATAAAAAAAGAAAACCTTGATAAAAGATGTACAGAGATCACATTTATTGTGTATTTAGTGCATGTCTTCATGTAGTGCATTCCTATGTTACATCATGTGTGCAACACTACAAAGCCACCAGAAGAACATCAGTGTATGGCAGGGATTTGGCAGGGATTTTTAAATGTTTTCATAGTGTACACAGTCTCATGGACCACCAGCCTCCCATTCCTGATCACACAAACCATCTCTTTTTGCATTTGTGATCACTTAAAATCATGTGGCAACTACAGTAATTGTTTACATGGAAAAGTAATATTAGGAAAGTATTTAATGTATTTTTAGCTGTCTTTTAATGAGATTTGGCAGTTGTAATAAAAGAACCAGCACTCCATGGCCCACTGTTTGAGGACCATTGTCGTATGATTTACTAATTTACATTAAAATTGCCTAAAAACCCTCAGGATGTGGAGTCAAATTTTGATGAATTTTGAGATGTGGCATCCCAGACATCACATAAAAAAAAGTGGATAGCAAAACAGAGGCTACCATCATCATCACTCCCTCTTAAAACCCAAACCTATACAGCAGCTGGACAGGGCACATCCTATTTTAACAAGAGGGACAAAGGAGGACTCTGATGGAAGACCACCACCACACATCCCAAGAATGGGAGCAAAGAGGACAATTGGAAGTCTGCTACTGAGCAACAAAATGTTGCTTTCAAAGAGGCAAGCTAAGTGTTTTAGAAGGATACACTTTGGGGCCAATTCTTGATCCCATTAATGTCAGTGGCAAAGCTCCTATGACTTCAACAGGCAGATAAGTCCTTTAATAATTCTCCCTCCTCCACCATTGCTGTGGGAACTAAAATCATACTTCTCAACTTCCCAGAGCTGTCATGTGTGTCTACGCAACTCCAAATGAAAAATATTCAAGGACCCTGACCCCTGAAATACAGAATACCATTTTCACTACTATTATTTTTTCTTTCAGTTCCCTTCCATCTCAATTTCTTCCCAAATCTCCCCATTTGGTTCCACTCCCTTTTCTGGGGGAGGAGGAGAAAACAGTTCAGCACTGTTTTTGTTGAATGGGGGAAGAATGGGAGACAGTGAGAAGCACAGGAGAACTGTGGACAGACAGGCTGAAAAGGTCTATGGATCCACAGTGGATCAGGTCTAATCTCTTTAATAGCAGAGGGAATTAGGCTCCTGCCATCTTGGATTCAGTCCATCCTGCACCATAAATGGTGCACATACAACACCTATCACAAAGCTTGGCCTCTACCCAGGTCTGGCAGTGTACAGGATAGTAGGTTATAGCTATGAAAAGGGGAGGATATCCTGCATCATGTGAGATAATTCAGAAGTATGCATAGACTAGATAGTGAAAATCCAGAATTGTTGCCAGAAACAGGAGAGGTAATAACCCTAATTTTAACAGAGTTCTTCACTGAAGGAAAGAAAGGTCCATAAAAGTCAAATCAGCTGACTTCAAATAGTTTACATCCCAGATGAATCAGGTTATATTGATTTAAGCCCAATTTAATTTAGGCAGGTTTTTAACCACAAGAATAAGGACATTCTTAGTACATATTAATAATTAAACCAACATATACACAATTAGCAATATCCTACATAATAATAAATGCTTAATAGCTTGCTTTGGATTATCCTATACCTAGTTAATTTTTTTAAAAACAAGCCAAGTAGTTTTATCTTGCTATGTATTTTTCCTTTCTACATGTTCTCTGTAATTATCAGTCTCTGTAGTAGTTGCAGCTTTATGGATTTTAAGATCCAAATTCAACTGTGTCTTCAGTTATCTTCTTGAACTCGTAATTTCCTCTACCATCCATGTGCAGGTAAAACTGTGGAATGAAAAAATTTACATCATCAACCAAAATATAAAAAATATTTTATATTAGCTTTTTTTATCATAATAAATTGTATAAGCAAATAATTTGTTAAAGGACAAAAACTAAAACCCTAAATCAACTGGTCAGAGGATGATCTCCTACTGCAATGCTTAGCCAATTCAATTGCCTTTGAGGAATAACATTGTATGATTTTTTTGGATATGTTCTGTCTCTATCTTCTGCTAGTTGGTCATATTGCTCATCACTGGGATTTGGTTTGTTGTAACAGATGCCTAATTTGCATGCATAATTATAATTCTGTGTACAAATCTGGTATTTTTACACATAGTGAGCCACTTACACCAATACCTGAATTGCAGAAATGTGTGCATAAATTAGGTGTGAAATGGTGTACATCGGGGTAGTTAATAGGTGGACCGTGGGCCAAACCTGGACCACCAGACACTTTTGAATGGACCCCAACATCTTTTTATTTACTTATCATCATCGTCATTATTATTGGTTTTTTTTATTATTTTCTCTGGAGTCTGGACCTTGACTATACCTTGACCAAGAAATGTTGACTTAGACAATTGACTGCATTTTTGCATACACAAACTAGGCATGTGCTTTTTGAAAATCAGGCCCTTGTTAAATGAATATTGATTTAAGATTTGGCTGGTGCTGCGGGACAGAAATTAGCAAAGGAGTATCCCCACAGAGCTTCAAATTTTATATATTTTCTAAGATTAAAATTATTTCTTCAATTATTATTTATTACAATCCTTATTTTATCCACTTCAGGACTATGATAACAGATGAAATTATGAGAAAGAATTTAGGAGAGAAAAGGAATACCTTGTATCATAGTTTTACATGTTTAGAATGTTTAACATTCCTTTTCCCAAGTATCTTCATGAACAATGAATTCCCCAATCCCTACCTGAAAATATCCACAGATTTTACGCTCCACTACCTACACCCCCCTCTAGGGGGTAATCATATCTTATTGTAACTGGAACGGGAAACATTTGCCAAAACTATTTTATAGGATTATAAAAGCCATGTATATTTCAACTATATCAGATTTATTTTTTATACTTATAGACGTGTTCTCTTCATTATACCTCAGCGCGCACACAAAATTTAAATTCCCACCAATAACAAAATTTACTTAGTTATAGAGTAAACAAGGAGTAGCCCCACAATTAAAAATACATCTTGCATTGCACAAAGGCCCTTTATAAACTTGTGCATTAGCACCTTCGTAAGAAAAGTTTTACAGGATTGTTTAGCTACAGGCTCTTTTAATCAGTGTCCACAGATGAAGAAACACTAACTTTGAATATTTTATATGGATAACCCTTCAGAACAGACAAATTTAGAACTGTCAGTTTCTTAGATTTTCATAACAGCTTTTTTGTGAATCCTTCAAATACTGCTGTTGGACTATGAAAATATATAATCTATGATACTATTTTTTGAAAAGAGTGTGTCTGGTTGGAAGGCAAGACATCTGAATGCAACTAAAAACTCAAAGTTCATTTAATACCCACAAAAAGGCTAAATACATAATCATCAACAAAAATAAAAATGACATACATCGTGGTGTTTCCAGAGGGACTTTCTGTGAGAGACAGTGAAGAGAGTGATGCCAACCTATAGTAAGAAGAGAATACAAACATTAAGTAAAACTTCACCCATAAGACAAATTCAACTAATTTTCTCAATCCCTCACACTTGGTAACATTTTAAAAGATGAAACTAAAAGCTCATACTAATAAATAGAAAAGCTTTAAGGCCTTAAATCATTTATACTATGTGTGTGTAGCCTCAATATTGCACATTTTAGAGGAAAAACAAAAAAGGTTTTAGGTTTGGTTTTTTAAACCTACTGATTTAAATGTTCTGTTTTTCCTGCAGGAGCTGAAAATGTCAGGCTAAAAAGTTCACTGCCTGTGCACAGATGTTAGCAATATCATAGGCTCTTACAGAAAAGACAAATTCCTGAACTTGAGCCCTAGCAGGTAAGTAAAAGAGGAAATTATTTCCAAATATTTTGTTTTTAAATGCATTTGATTGCTAACTAAAGTGTATGATGTTAATGATTTAAGAACTTAAAGTGCTTCTTAAATACAACGAAAAATTCACCTTTAAAATCACCTGTAGGCAACAGTTGCAACTGTACTGAATGGTTAAGTTGTAAATGGTTAATGATTAAAACAAACAGAAATGAACGTGATAATAATCATACTATTTGTTTTTTAACCTTCTGTAAGAGACAACTGACAAGGGGTTTGATTTTCCAGAGGGATGCATTATCAGCCACTTTGCAATGGTAAATCCTCAAAATAGAAAGCAGTACAACCTGGCATCCAAATGGTAAATGTACTTAAACAATGAAATAGAAAGCAACACAGAGTCCTGTGGCACCTTTAAGACTAACAGATATATGAAATAGAAGAATCATAGAATATCAGGGTTGGAAGGGACCTCAGGAGGTCATCTAGTCCAACCCGCCCTGCTCAAAGCAGGACCAATCCCCAGACAGATTTTTGCCCCAGATCCCTAAATGGCCCCCTCAAAGATTGAACTCACAACCCTGGGTTTAGCAGGCCAATGCTCAAACCACTGAGCTATCCCTCCCCCCTATAACTGATGCTCTTTCACACAGAGCCCATCCAGCATCAAAATTACTACTATAAAAGTATCTTAGGGCCTGCTCCTGCTCCCAGAGAGATTAGGATAAAGGTTTCAGTACCTGTAGAGTTTCTGTTTCCTTTCCAAGGACATCACTGCTCCATAGTTAAATTTAAAGCAAGTTTCCCATTATAATCTCTATTTTCAAACCCTTCTCCCCTTCCCCAAAAAGAAATCAACCCCCTTGATATTTCTCCTACCACATCTCATATGAGGGTAGAATTTTTTTTTTTTTTTGGAGAATTCTGGGGGAGGATGGGGAATAGAAAAGAAGTTAAAACATCATGCTTTTTTAAATACTCCCTTTTCATTTACTTTTTTGAAAGTTCTCCTAGCGTTGCTGGCTCCTATCTCCAAAACAGGTTCACTTACAAGTCCTTTTGTTTTGTCAGCCTTGCTGAGAAGGGTTATTTTCCATAAGGAAAGAATAAGATTGTTTTGGGTGTTATCTGGATTCCATTTCACATTTTAATCAAGTTTTTGGAAATTTAATATTATCATGTCTAATATTGTTGCTGAAGTCCAGTTTTACCAATCCGTCAAGTTGACATTTTCCAAATTAGAAATTACATTCACAAAGAGCAATTTAAATGTATCTCAGCCTTCTTTCTTTATCTAGAAAAAACAGAAACAAAACTAACTTACTTTCCGGCAATGACTGTAAATGTAGCCTTCTACATCAACGCTAACAGCACTTGTACATTCATCCAGAATTGCAAACTGAGGTTTATGATAAAATAACCTTGCCATCTGGAATGCAAAACAATACACCATTTGTCAATAGAGAGAACAAGGACAATGCAAGTTTCTTCATCTTTATAATAGCATAACCTATTGTCTAAATGAGCATTTAAGAGATGAAACTACTGTAATCTATTGGAAATATAACAAACATTTTAACAAATGGTTTGAAATATTTACACAATTGCTCAAAAACTTCAGTTTTTGTGCTGCCATTACCTCTCTCCCCCAAAAGGCATAAATGAAAACTATGAAGCTATTTAAGTTTACAACTAAAAATGGAGATAAAACATTTGAAATTTAAAGACATTTTAGTCTGATTTCATCCCATTCCTCCTAAGTGTTCAGTAGATACAGTAATATGTACATTACCATGCAATAATCAGAGACTTGAGTAATACTGAAGCACAGTGAGTTACAGCCAGTGTGCAATGAAAATTTCCTTTGCTGTCCTGTCAGTTTGTCTTCTAGCAGACAATTAGGCAGGTCACAGTCAATATGAATACTTAATTTAAAAAATGGTAATAGTTTATCATACAATATAATCTTAGGTGTATGTGTAACATATAAGCAGCTTTCCACAATTATGTGGTTACTTATTAACCCAGAAATGTTGTGTATGTACTGCCACACCATCATTCTGTCTTGATTTTTGCTAGAGGAAAAAGGATGAATGCCAAAATATCTACATAAATAATGATCAATGCTGTTAGCAGAAAGTCAAGTTTTCTCAACAATCATAACTAATACTGTAGTCTTAGAAGTTTTAACCAGAAATTATTGACTGAAAATTAAAAGGGGAAAGAATTTTTTTTAACCATCATTTACTGAACCTCACTGAAATTTGAATATTGTATAGTATTCTTTGTATACTTTCCAATGGTAAGAAATCAATATTTTACATCATCTGCTTACATAATAGAAGAGAATATGTTGATCTGATAAGAAAGCATTCAGAAATCTATATTACAATGTGAAAATAATAATGCCTACCTGTAGTAATTTAAGTTATTTTCATGAGCTCTAAGATTATAAAAACCTTAAATTTTTTCTTTAAAGAATAATGCAGTAGAAAAATTTACTGACTAGATATCATCAACATTTCAGATTAGTTATACTAATTTACAGTATTTTTCAAGTACGTATAAGATAGAGACGCACTGCCATCCTCTGTTTTTCTCCTCCGCTGAGCACATCCATCCAGTCTTGAACACTATCCCAGCCACCTTCACGTTCCAGGATTTGACCCAACTGGACATTATCCAAGTACTCCTTCAGCACCTTTTAGCAAAACAATAATGCTTACAGATAAACCTAAACATACTTCATGTTGCAATAACTTCTCAGATTAGTATAGTATACTATAATACTATGAAGTATTAAAATCACTCTATCACCCAAGATATTGGTACCAAAATAACATTTCAAAATGTAAACAAATCTAATGTTCTTACTTGCTATACTAATATAGTTAAAAAATGAATGATACTTCAGAACAAGTTTAAATGAACAGTGAAACTGTCATTAACAGACAGATGACATCCTTGACATCTGCTGGCAGGTAATATTACAGACTATGTGATAAATGGCGGAAGTAGCAGCCCATTAGTGTGGCACATTTAAAGCCACAACTGATGACCTTTGGTTTGGTGAACCTTTATTTTACAGCCAATCAGGTTCAAGAATGGAAAGGGTGACTTAAGAGAAAAACCAAAATGCTATGAAGTCTCCCAAAGCAAAGAGTTGTAGAGAAGCCATGGTTCCATCAACATTTCCTGTTCGGATCTACATGGGGAGAAACAGACTTGGGTTTCTCTATCATTTAACAAATTTAAAGTACAAATAATCCCACACTACAAAGAATCAGGAAAAGTAATGGCTGCAAATAATGGTTATTGAGGAGAATGTCTTTTTTACCTGGTCAGCTATCCCCTTCTTCCTCTGGTCTTCTACGGTATCTGGATATATTACTTGGTCTCTGAGGGTTCCTAGCGTCATATATGGTCTCTGGGATTAAATTGCAAATGATTAGTACATCATTACAGACATATGTAACACTCATCAAATAAAGAGGTAACAAAAAATACAAATATCAATTACTATGGTACTTTGCTTTACCTGAGGAACATAGAAAAGCTTTCCTCTCTCAGGCTTGGTTAGACATCCACCAAACAGAGGCCACAACTGCAACAAGAAAACAAAAGTCATCAAGAGAAAATTTCTCTTAAGAAATTAGGGTGAGGGGTTTTGTGTTTTTTAAAATGATAAATTTCATTTTAGTATGTCTTTACCTCGCCAAGAACACGGAAAAGTGAACTCTTCCCACATCCGTTTGGCCCACAAATCAGAACATTTGCACCAGACCGAACCTAAAATATATGTCAACACATTAAACAATAGGAAAATAACTGGAAAATCTGTACTGCTGTAGAGATGCCAGTATCCCCATAATTAGACTGGAAGCCATCCTTTGCACAGTAAGTCCAATTTTGACACACATCCACCAATATTAAATTTAGCCTAAACTAAATCAGTCTGTCTGAAGTTTTCCACATGTGATCTGATGATACAGTAAAATTATTGCATAGTTTTTTTTAAAAAGGCAAACTGAATAAAAATCATTTTGGAAATACTAGTGTTAACAAATCGATTTTAATTATTGGAATGTCTTCTGATTTTTCAAGGTGGGGGCGTTAATCAACTTCGAAGAAGCTTAGTTTAGAAACTTCAAGTTTCTTTTATTTGATTGGCCTCAATGAGCGCTGGTAAGTGACTACTTGATGAGTTTCCTGAATTAATAGCAGAGCTGGTTTGAAAATTGATGAAAACAACACTGATATAAAATGGAAATGAATTTTTTTTTTTATGAATTTGTCTTTTCTGTTCTGACCACCTCTAGTTAATAGTCTAATTACATACCATTTTTGCACTATTTGTTAAACCTGCATAGGTCACCACGTGAATATTATAATCCCTGCACAGCCCTATAAAATCCAGACCATGACTTCCCAAGACCTCAAAACTGGAGTAAGCCTCTTCATATGCCAGGATGGGAGGGGGTGGCGGGATTGCATGCAGTTTGGTCTGGTACTGGAGGAGGTGAGTGAGAAAGCCACATTGGAGGAAGAGTGGTGAGCAGAAAACATTGCTGAAAAGTTTTGTGTTTGATTGGAAGGAGTAAATTGGCAAGACAGTGAAGGAGGAGGGAGAGAAGGAAAGTAGAAGCCATTGTTACTCTTGAATAAATCCACATCAGAGAGCAATTATTTGATTAAAATAGTTAAGAAGCCTAAAGAAATTCTAACACAAAAACTTTTGTTAAATTTGTTAAAATTAGAAACATGGGGGTTTGTCTACATAAGGGGACTACACCGGCAGAGCTATGGTGCCAAAACTATCCCACCATAACTCCATAGTTTAGACACAGCCTACACCGATGGAAGGGGTTTTCCCACCAGTGAAGGAATGCACCTCTATGACAATCATGGTCCAGACACCCCAAAAGGAGAATAGGGGGTCTGAACCCCAAAGAATAAGCAACTGATTGTACACAATAAAATTCTACTATAAAAGTGTATTGAGTAAGATCTTTTATGTAAGCCTGTCACACACTGGTGATTAATATCACTGTAAAATGTATGTATTAACTATATGAGGAATTATGGTTACTCACTGATACTATATTTCAAAATTTGCAACCAAAGGGAGAAACAGGTTTTCTCCCAGACTGGAGACAGGTAGATAGCTACCTTCCCTCCTATGTAAATTAAACATTATGGAACCAAAACAATGGAAGTCCCATTTACATATGAATCGGCAGAAAAATGGGAAGTCAACAGGAAGGGAAGAACAGTAGGAAGTCATCCTGACTCTGGGGACAAAACATTTTGGGAAATATAAGCAGAAACTAAAAGCCATTTTGGCATCCATCACTTAGGCAACTTAGGGAACAGCACCCTGTGAAAGCTGGATCCCATACTCTGGTGGGCTAGTGATGCTGGTAACTTGATGTAAGTAAGAAAGCTGCTTAGGCAAAGATTGTAACTTGTTAAAATTAAGTTTTAAGTCACTAGAAAGCCTGTTTTGTTTTATTTGTAACCATACCTCTCTCTTTTATTCTTACTTAGTATCACTTACATCTCCTTTCTTTGCTAATAAACTAATTCTTGTTTTATTAAAAATCATCTCAGTGCTGTGTATTTAAGTGAAGCATGAGTCTTCAGCTAACCTACCAGACTGATGTGTGCCCTGTCTTTTGCCCTGTCATTGCCTATTAGGGAAGTGACCGTAATAATTTCTGAGAGTGTCCAGCCAGAGGGCCTGGACACTGCAGAGAGATGTCTCTGGGGAACACTGATTGTTACGTGTAAGGCAAGGTTTAGATGGAGACAGTTTTGAAGACTTTGCTGGCAAACCAGACAGGCTAGTGAGCCAGGGAAGTGACACACAGCTTAGCACGAGTATGACAGAGTGTTAGGAATCAGCAACTGAGACAGCACCTGGTCACTGTTTAACCAATTAGGCCCCCTCAGGGACGATCAGATTACCAGATCCCATTGCAGCTGGGTAGCTACGAAGCTACTTAGCCCATTAACAAGGAGACTGGATGAAAGAGTACAAGAAGGAAGGGGGGATGGGGGAACTAGTGGGGCCTGACAAAAGCGAGTGTTCTAGGAAGAGACACCTTCCCTCCCCCCAACCCCCTTTTTAGAAGGGACAGTAAAACCGCATAACACTAAATACTGTGATGGCACAAAGTGTGTAGAAAGTGGAGGAGTGAAATGCTGTAAATAAACTGCATGGTGGTATCTACATGAGCGAAGGTCTCTAAGCAGTCTGTGTGAGGCAAAGGAGACAGGAGCAGTGGGGTCCCATCACCAGCAGCGAAGCTCTCATTCTTGCTAAGGCAAAATGGTAACAATGGCTTACAGTCCTGGGTATCCTGAGCACAACATCATAACCTCGCCGACTGAGGGTAGCTGGGTTGACAGAAACATTCTTCTATCGACCTGGCAGCATCTACACCAGAGGTTACGTCATCTAGCTACATCACTCAGAGGTGGGATTTTTCCACACCCCTGAGCAACTTAGTTAGGTTGACCTAAATTTTAAGTGTAAAACAGAGATAACTAACTTTTGAGATAAATCTCTTGAAGGAACTCTGTTTAAAACAAACCATCAGCCACTGAAGTCAACAAATTTAAAGTTACGATTACACTTACAATTTGGGAGCATGGAAATTCAAAATTAAGGTCTCCCTTTAACTGTACCTCTACCTCCATTTCTCTACCTGTATACACCACAGAAAACACAGAATCTACCTTATTCCTAAGCATTGTACGTAGATGACAAAATTCCTCACCCTCCATTTACAAAATAGAAAAACTGGCTTGCTACAAGTTATACCACTGCCAAAGAAATAAGCAAAGCCTCTTCTACAGTAATAGGTAACTACCATTAAACTTGAGATATAGAAATTTCAGCACCTCAGTGGCTTTTCAGATACTCAATAATATCAGAATTCAAACAGTTTTTTTTTCTCATGAAATACACGTTATGTTTTTAAACCATCATGACATGAGCTTAAAGAACCTGCAGGCACTTGTTCTATCATCTTTACGTCTGCCCATATGCAAACACACAAAAAATAGTAATTGGGAATTTATAATCTTAAAGAAACAGATTCTTATGCTCTCCTTTAGCCTGTAATCCTTCCTTGGCCAGTCTATCACACCCTCCACACTTCCTCCTCATAACATACTTCTTCCAAGAGCCCTAACAACCTTAATGCTCCCCTCAAAGAAATGTCTATTCAATAAGTAACACCTGACCTATCCCATCTCCTTGCAAAGAACCAGACATGTGCCAAACAACTGCATTTATCATCTTGCTTTTGTTAAATCCCTTCCCTACTTTTGTCTGCAGGTTGTCTGCTTGGAAGACTAGCCCTTAAGGGCTGGGACCATATTGCCTTGACTGCCTTTAGCACACGTAACAAAGGTAGGCACTATATAATAATGTCAAGATTCAGGGCAAATCACTAAAGTTTAAAATTTAAATGGTCAAGCCTGTTACGACACTTGTGAGATTAAGCATAAATACATAATCATCTTGTTGATCAAGGATTATCTACCAGTTTAACAAGAATCCTTAATTTAAACATCAAATGTACCCCAAGTGCAATTATGCCAAGATTTAACAATTTTAAGAACTTAAAACACTAGATCCCACAGGGAATACCCTGTTAACGATACCCTGTAAAAATACATATGTGAAATTCAATTTCCTAGCTTTATGATTTTTTTTAAACAAAATTTTAAGGCATATCCACTGAAGTTACAGATTCTTATTTTTAACTGTAATTCAAACTTTTTTTTTTTTTGTCTTGAACTTACCTACCGTGTTGATGGGCAATTTAAAAGAAACTTATAAAATTAAAAAGTTTTATTTTTATTCAAACTTCTTACTTAAATATTTTTCAAAATTACAAGATGCCATAACATTCTAGAAAGCAAAAGAATATAATCAAGTCTTCAGGAATAGAATATAAAACTAGTATAATTGTTATAATGGGATTTTACTATTCCTGCTTTATGTCATAACTGGAACAAAAGCATCAGATGAAACTGAATACTGACTATTCTACTTAACTAACTTTGCACACCTATGGCATTGCAATTTTGTTTTCTAGAATCAGGGCCGGCTCCAGGCACCAGCTTGGCAAGCAGGTGCTTGGGGCGGCCACTCCGGAGAGGGGCGGCAGGTCCAGCTATTCGGCGGCAATTCGGAGGATGGTCCCTCACTCCCGCTCAGAGCGAAGGACCTTCCGCCGAATTGTCGCCGCAGATCGCGATCACGGCTTTTTTTTTTTTTTTTTT